TGATATTTGAAAGAGAACCAGCAAACGTACAATGCCTTCATTCCTCCCCCCTGGTTTCTTCCATTGTTTTTTACTTCTTTGTATCATTTACAGGAACTTTCTCTAGGTTTTCATTTTTCCTTCCCCTCTGTCATTTGTTTTGCTGTAAAACTTACAAGTTTGTAGTGGTGACCAGCAGATATGGAGCTATCACCAGGTATGGAGATAACAGCAGATATGGGGATAATATTCCATAGAAGTTTTCTGGCAGATGCAAGCCTCAATCTAAAGAGATGGTAAAAATGTAGACCAGGGAGATGGGTGTGTTAAGTTTGTGTTGTGACAGCAATTTCATTACAACACCCATCTCCTGAAGCCAACAGGAACCATTTGGCTGGATTTCACAGGAATTTGTGGACAGGGTGTGGTGGTTCAGGTCAGACATGAGTGGAAGAGCACAGTGAGAAACTTACACTTCACATCAGCAGTGATCTTTGCTTTGCTCCTTGTGCTCCTCTTTGGTATGGGACACCTTCCACTAGACCAGGTTGCTCAAAGCCCTGTCCAACCCAGCCTTGAACACTGCCAGGGATGGGGCAGCCACAACTTCACTGGGCAACCTGTGCCAGGGCCTCACCACCCTCACAGGGAATAAATTCTTCCTAATATCCAATCTAAATCTCACCTTTTTCAGTGTAAACCCATTCCCCCTTGTCCTATCCCTACTTGCTCTTCTTTATCCCAATACTCACTCTGAGGAACATCACTTGTCACTCATCTCCACTTTGTTATTGAACTATTATCACAACTCTTAGGGTGTAACCATCCAGCCAATTCTTATCTATTGAGTGCTACATCCATCAAATTCAGGCCTTCCCAATTTAGAGACAAGGATCTTGTGCAGGACAGTGTCAAATGCCTTGCACAAGTCCAGGTAGGTTGTATCAGTTGCTCTTCCCTTATCCACCAACTCCGTGGCACCATCATAGAAGGCTACCAACTTGTCAAGCATGATTTGTCCTCATTGAAGCTGTGTTGCCTGTCACCAACTACCCCCTTATTGTCTATGTCTCTTAGCATAGTTTCCAGGAGGATCTGCTCTGCAATCTTGCTGGGCACCAAGGTGAGACTGACTGGGCTGTAGTTCCCTAGGTCTTTCTTTTTTGCCTTTTTAAAAAAAGGGGTTCCAGTCAGAAGGAACTTCACTGGCCTACACCTTAATTGAGCAATTGAAGTGCTCAGTTCAATCTTTCTACCAGTTTTGTTGTTTTGGGTACTATGTTTCACATCATGTTCTCCAGGGAGAGAAGGGAAGGGGAAGACAAAGTGTGGGAATTCCAAGACAGAAGAAGGTCACTAGGCCTATTAAACTAATGTGAAAAACTGAAACTTGTAAGGAGGTCCCTTGCGTCTGGCAATGAAAAAACAAAACAGAAGAATGCCAGCAACTACTGGCTGTAAAATGGCACAATTTCTCATGCAGTATATTAATCGCTGGATGCAGCAAATCCATGGGTAGAGAATTTTCCATTAGAAAAATATATTCCATTAGAAAAATATATTAGACAAAATATATTCTGAATGAATCAAAATTAATAGTTATTGGAGAGGTTTGAGTGGGTGATTTCACAGATCCCTTCCCATTTCTACATCTGAGTGCTTAAAGCCCAGATTGACTAACACACTTCAGTATATGCCTATTCTTAAGCAATTTAAGACAACAGGATGACTCAGTTACACACAGTTACAGACATACTTTATGACTGAATGCATAACAGAGAAAGTGGTTTTGGTCTACTAACGACTATTGGTACCTCAGGCAATATGCTGTGTGTATCACAGCCATCAGACTCCTCTGCTGTTCCTACCTCTCTAGCAAATTCAAGGTCCCTGCAGTTCTTTGTTTTCCACTGGAAAATCCAACAGTGGGTTTTTAGAGGGCCAGCTTTCTCTGAAGGTCAGTCTACATGCTTCTGCATGAGCCAAGGGATCCCCATGTTGCCTAAGAACAAGCCTGGTTGATTTGGGCAGCTGGGGAGAGGAGAAGGTATGAGGGACATTTGTAGAGGTACTGCTGTTGAGATTTTCTGGTGCAGGACAAAAAGCCTGGGCCACATTATGCAGGTCCTGGGATCAATGATCATTTAAGATACATTTTGTTATGAAAAAAAGCCTTGCTTGCCAACTCAGGGCTTCTGCCCCATGAAAATAGGCTGAATTTTTTCACTCATGCAGCAAGACTTTTTCCACTAGGAGTGGGTTTATCAAGGGATAAGGACCAAGGAATTCAAGGAGGCTACAGATGCCACACATCACTCTGTAAACATCACCCAGAGCATGGTGTGCACTGTTTCACATGATGGTTCAGTGTTGCCCATCACATGTATTTTGGTTGCATTATCCCTGAAATGCTTATAGCCACATTCTCAGGCTCTGTGGCCCATAGAAATGCCCCAAACATTTCATTTTTTAGGGTGTGAATGTTGAACTCAATGGTAATCAAAACTATCTGAATTTAAAATGGCACAGAGTTAACACTGTAACTGAGCTTTCCCACACTAGGTAAAATGAAGTGAAAGCGCAAAGCTTATGAATAATTTTTTTTTTGATTACATATACACCTACATGTAGCGGAGTTCCTACTTGATTGGAGTACTGACACATTTGTTGGTGGAAAGCTTAAAATATTTTTTGTGTGCCTGGTGCATGAAACATAATTTTAAGTCTTATTATTGCAACAGGCAATGCCAAATTCAGGAATTTTGTCCCTTCACCAGAAAGCCTGGGAGAGACCTCTGTCCATTTATAGCCCTGAATCTGTTCCAGAACAGGGGTGCCTTTATCCTTTTTTTCCTTAAAGGAACTAAGTGCAGTACTTTCTCTTTTAATAGAACATTATTATAGCTTTGGTTGTGACCTTTCCTGAAGCAGCACAGCAGTGAAAGCATTCAGTAAATTGAACTGTTTGTTCAAACCTCTCCTCAGACTGAATGAGCTCAAGGCCATACCTACCTGTTATACATAAAATCTTCAATAAATTGTGTATTAGGCCCTGGGTATATGAACTAGCACCCAGGTCTCCCAAGTTAAAACTTTATCCTGCAAGTCAAAAGCATAAAACATCCAATTATTTACCCTAACCCAAGTCAACCTAACCCAACCAACCCCCTGTAAACACAATGGATTTTATAACTATTTCCGCAAACAGATGAATATTAGGAGAGGCATTTTGACTGCATTTCATGTAGCTACTTTTTCCCGTATGACCTAGAAGGTTCTCCAAAATGTTGGGTCAACATGAGTACAGATTTTGCAAGGGGTACACTCAGCATAGTGCGGCAGAGACAGATTTGTTCCACATAGTTTTATAACCCTTGTGTATCATCCAGCCATTCACCCTGAGTTGGCATTTAACATGAAAATCCTCTGATAGGGAGAAATTCACACAATGGTGGTAGCCATGGGTCTGCCAGAAAGCACACTAGCTTCCAGGAGCTGTGGGTTCTGAAGGCCAAAGTCCTGTGTTTATACACAGAAGTGTTTCTGGATGGATGGTTGAAGCAAATATTTCTCACACAGCTTTTTTCTCACACAGCTTTTTTGCAGTCATGCCTCAGTCACAACCCAGTGGAAACTCTTGCAGGGGTGAGAGGGTGAGAGGTTAGTTCAAACTCCATGGCTCATTGGGTTTTTGGCTTCTCTGCCCATTAGCATTGGCAGTTATCTGTGGCAGCAGACAGCGGGAAATTGATTATTCCCATTTATATTCCACTCTAACTATTCAAGGACCTCCACAATAAAACTGCAACAAAAGCAAACTACTGGTAATGAACACTCATCCCAGTGAGTCACAGAGGGCAGGAGGGGCAGGAACGAGCAACAGAAATGCATCATGCTGCAGATATTCTCAGGGAAACGCTGGGAGCAGTTGATATCAAGTGAGAGGTGCTCAAGCAGAAAGATCATGTAACAGCAGGGATGGGACTCAGGGTAAGGGTACAGAAAGGCCAGAAGGCAAGGAAGAAATTGGATGGAAGAGAAAAGTGAATCTTTTTCTGGTGCTGCATGACATAAAAAAAACAGGTCTAGAAAGGATCTGCTGGACTGCTGTGCTGTGATGTTCTGATCACATCTCTTTATTTTGATGACTTGAACTTCCTGCCTGAATTTATTCATGACCAGTGTCCCCTTGAGTCAATATGGCCTTTAGATAAACAGCTCTTCTCTCTCCTTAATGTTTGCTCCAGCTGATAGCACTGAGTTTGAAAGTGGAAAACACATTCCAACTCCTTTATTCCCCTTATTTATCATCTGAGTTGGGAAATCTCACAGTTGCAGACAGCTGGTGTGGGGTACAGATCCAGATGAAAAACAGACAGTGATGTCTACATATAGGCTTCCTGCCTAAGCTCCTACAGAGACATGGTGACTGCAATCAGTGGAGCCCAGAGAGCCATCCAAATGCAGGTGCCCTCTTCAAAGTGAGGTGAAGCACTCTCCAGACTCCAGTGAATGTATTAATTAGAGCTTGAATGACTATGGTTGCACTTTACACACATAGCTCATGTATAGGTACTTACCCCGTAGATGCCTAAAGTATCTGGATCTGACTCCCACCCTCACTGAAGGGAAAGGTTTTACTGAATCCCAAAACACAGGACTGAAAGTCTCCTTTGACCAGCATGTCCAAGAAATTAGCATGGGACTGGGAGATGGACACAGGACTGACAGGAGGTCCAAAATCTTGTAGAGTCCCAGTTGTGGGTTTGACCTCAGAAGACCAGATGCCTATAAACTTTTGACCCTGCTAACTTATTTTATGCCTCTTTTCCATACAAATTAAACTGCAGCAGTTAACACTTTTGTTTCTTTTGAATGAGAAAAAAAAATAAACCCATGAGATCTTCTCAAAGTACTATCTCATACACATTTGCAAGCTAATTTTTGGTGCATTGTTTTGGAGGACAACAGAATAAGGGCAACAGAATAAGGTGCAAACTTCAATGTGCATGGCTACTTACTGAACTCACAAAGCAGTGTTCAGATTCTCCACTTTCAAACAGGATGACATCTTTTATGAAGACTGCAATGGCTCTCATTATAAAGGACATGAAGAGGTGCATATGAATATAATTTCTAGTACAGTGTAGCTTTCTGTTGGGAAGACATGAAATAACATTTCTGAATAGCAAGGCTTTTCAAAAGCATTATTTATTTCTTTATGTTTCTTCTCCCAAGCCACCAACAAATATTAGAAACCCTGGGACAGACTATGTTCTGATGTAAATCGCTGTAAATCCATTTAAACCGTTTTAAATCCACAAAACATGTGGCAATCCATACATCTGCAGCGGTGTTGCTGCTTTTCCAATTCTCAGAAACAAAGGTCAAAATACAGAATGATAGAAAACAGGTCCATCACGCTGCTCTCCACTGGAAAAAGAAATGTTTTTGACTGAGCAAACTGCGCTCAGGATACAGGTCTGTTTTCTACAGAATGTCTGTACTGTAATAATTCTTTTCATAGTAAAATATTTCTTCAGGAATAGAAACAAAATCTTAGCAGCTGCTACAAAAATTAACACAGGCTTTCTGGAGCAATACAAAATATATTTTTATTTAAAAAGGACTCATTATTAATGATATTGAGGACACCACCACTGTTTTTCTGTCCCTTGCCCACTAATATTTTGAAGACTAATGCTGATCAAGTAGGCCTTTTTTTCAAGCGAGACTTTGTATCAGTTTAAGAGAAAGGCCTAATACTCTGGAAATAGGTAATTTGTACAGTCATCAGAACCGTAACAGACCTCACTCAGGAACATGATCAAATTACCACCTCTTAATGAGTCACTGTGCATTGACAAAATTTATGCTGTTAATCTCTGACAATGGCAAGATAATGTGACCGAGCTGAGTCCTCTGTGCTTGCAGGTGAAGGCAAGTCAAATTACACTGCTTCCAACAAATCGAAAGTGTGAACTCAACAGTTTCACCAGCTCGGCTGGCACCTTGTACCTTGCTGAGTTGAGACAATTTGCCTATGTGTCTGATTCATGCTTCCCTTGTAGGAGGAGTGGTGAGAGTGCTTGTGCTGAGAAAAGCAAATATCCTGAAGGTTAAAGCCAATCTTTATGTAAGTGTGAGAATAACCCTAGAACATGTGTTATTTCCTACAGCTTTCTCTGGGGGTGATGTCTGACCAGGTTGTTATAAATTGGACAACCAAATAGCACATTTCAGGGAAGCCACTGGAAAGTGGCATAAGGAGATGGAATCACATCTAGAAGTTTCTTCTGTCTCATGGAGGTCTACTTCTTGCTGTTCTCCCTATATATAAACATTATAATAGGAGATTATCTTATATATATCTTCTTCTTTGGAGGCATCCAAATTTAGATGCCTGAATTTATTATAAAAAATAAAGACTGAGGATTAATTCATTTGCTGCAATCTAGGCATCTAATGCCATTTGATATGCTGTAGAGTATCTGCCCATCAATCCATACAGGCCTGGTCCTCCTGAAGGTGCTGCATTACAGTGCCTCCCTTGTGAACACCTCAGAGGCTCTAGCATACCTAGAATGGCTGTGGATATCTATGTCTTGCCACAGAGCTGTAGCAGGAAACATTTCTGAAATAGACTTTGGGAGGTAGTTTTAGGGTGTGATCACTTGCACCATTTTTAATACCAACTTTAGTAGAAATTCATCATTCCATAGTAGCCATATATACCATACTGACTAGGTCTCTGTGGACTGTAACAATTATGTGATAATGGCCTCTAACACAGAGATCCACCACATAACATTAGTGAGGTGAATCCCCCCATAATAATTGGATTGGGGTTTTAACTCACACAAAGGCCACAAGCAGCATGCCAGATAACTGTGGTACCGAAAGACTGAGGAACTTTTCTCCCTTGCCCAACTGAGATTTAACAGAAGTCCTTTACATCCGTCTTACTCACAGCCTGTAACTTAAAAGAGCCACTATGTCCTCTGAGTCATCCCCTTACCTATGCCTTTTTCACTCATAGTCTTACCTGAAGAGACATAAAATGATCATAGCAGCTGTGAGAGCAATGAGCGATAAGGTATGTCCAATGGTGTAGCCAGTCTTGACAGTGCCATAGAATGCCGTTTGCTAATGTGAAAGAAAGAAACAAAACATGTCTTTCAAGAAGCTGCCAACATGTATTCCTAAATACACCATCACTGAGCTTTTATTAGCTTTCTTGGTGAGACAAGGAAATCACCCTGCTACAACTCCTTCACCCTTTAAAATCACACCCAAATACCACTGGTATGAATATGAAGAATGAGTTTGGTTGCAGTAGAACTTGGATCACTCCAAAACCAGGTTAAAATTTATGCAGGGAAAAATTTATGCAGAAAGGAGTCTGATTTGACACTTGCAGAGACAGCTACATGGTTATAACCTTGTGGAACAAGAATGACCAATGTTCACTCAAACAGTGCAGTGACACATTAGCGCTGAGGTGGTGAGTATGATGAACTTCAATCTTGTTAAGGAAGTTTGAAGACAGGACTGGTCTGGAAATTGGTTTCCTTTTTTGGAAGCTAGACATTGTGTTTTCGGAAGTAAAAGCTTAAAATTTTCTCAATGAAATCACAGGTATGTTAATTCAGAAATATATATTAAGTTGGAAATTAGTTTATGGCTTTTCTCTTTGAAAGCACATAGAGGGCATCTCTGAGCATGTGGCACCACAAGACTTAAATCCAACAGGGAATCCTGGTCTAAATAAAATGTGTAAGTAAGGCAATGAAACTCCAGCTCTCCTAAGGTTCTCCAGCAACCCTCTGAATCAATGTATTTCAGTTTTCAGCTTAAAAAAAGGGCAAAAGATCACGTAGTATTTGTTTTTATGAGTTTCTATGAGATAAGTTTTTATGAGATTCTAGCTCAGTTTGTGGAAAATCTTATTTTTCCAGGCCTTGATATATCCTCCTCTGCCCTCCTTGTCACTATTTTCTATGAAAAATCCAAACAAAGGAACTGCAAAGAGAGTTTAAACAGAAAATCTAAGACCAACCTTGCTTGGGGAAATATTCTTTAGTAACAGGGAGGGCTGACATTTTTATATGCTATTTTCATAGGCCTTGACAAGTAGTAGGTACTTTACAGAACCAGTGAGGCTGAGTAGTAATCCTCTAGCATTTGCACAGCCATCTTGGAGGGGTGTTAAGACAGCGCTTTCAGAGAGTGCAAAGGCTACGCTGGTCATACCTCTGCTGCTTCTTAGACCACAGGTATCAAAGATGGTTAAAGGCACAGTGCCTTTACTACCCCATTCCATGAATCCACATCACTAATAGCTTTAGGCCAGTTACTGAACACAGAATTCATAGTGAGGGTTTCAGGTCAATTTATCTACCTGATCTTGCCCATATGATGCCAGGAGGCTGCCATGGTGATGGAGTCAGCCAAAACGGTATGGTCACACCTATGTCTTGTTTATCTGCACTGCATAAAGAGACTTGCACTACAGAAAGGAACAGTGGAGGTTCCACCTTTCTACCCCACTGTCTTGTAGATTCCACTCAAAGCTAACTACATATAGTCTTGTTTCCAGTCATCTTTGAGTTTGGGATCCCAAAGGCACCTGAGACTTTTCCAATAAAATCAATCAACTTCATGCTGATTTTGTCGTTTTCCCATTATTTAGTTTCCTTCCTGATCCACAGCAGAAGTGTTCCAGGAAAGACCTGGCCAGCAGAAGGACAGAGCCTGTGGTAGGGGACCGAGTTTGAAGAAAAGGTTGTTCCACACTGTATTTAGGAAAGGAGTGGAATGGGGGAAAGGAAATTAAGAGGTATCACAGGAGATGCTGGTAGCGAGCTGGTAGATGGAAACTCTCCAGTGTCAACACAGGTATAGACAGGCCTTTTGCTTCTTTTGAGTTATTCACAGAAGCAAGTTATGCACAGAAAGATCTTGGTATTTTTTTAGCAAACAACTCCCTGATTTATATTTTACAATGACCAAACCTTCCCGTGTACAGAGATATGGCTGTGCCTTCAGCTTTAATGTAGCATGTGGGGTCACCTCTGTTCTGGAAACAGCAAATACTGACTTCTCAGTCTTCATTTGTACTTGCTAATGACAATCACTTACTATTCCACAGGTATTAAAGCAGAGAATTCGACCCAAGATCAAGAATGGAACTGGAATTTGAGTTCAGGTTGCTAAAATATTCTTCCTAGAAAAAAGAGAGATCTAGAGAAGTGAAGGAAATGTATACCAGGATGTCTGGGTTCAAACTGTGGACCTAAATTGATTTACAGAATGAAATTAGGCAAATTTCTCTCTGACTTCTAAAAGCCCCTGCTTAATACAATTAGTTAGGGTACATGTTAAACTGAGATGAACTGAGAATTAGCTTCCTTGGTTGTCTTGGTTCCTTGTTCAGTAATCTCTACATTTGTGGCTTGGCAGCTGAGACTAGAATGCAAAACATTTACATTTTTAAGAGAAAAAGAAAAGAAATATTGATATCAAGTCTTCCAGCAGCCCTGTACCCAAACATGTTTTTGGTTCACATCACGTAGCCTAAAGTCATCTGGGCGCCCTCTATAAAGTAAATGCAAAGAAGTCCCTCTGGAGAGAAATTTGGGGTGAACTGACCTCTGGAGATGTCTATGTTCTTCACCATCTTCAGACAGAGCCCATGGGGACATGTGGGGTGCCCCCCTTTTGACTGGATGCAGGCACACAAGGCACAAGCTGTGCATCATGTCTGACAGCAAAACAGCAAAACACTTGCTAATACATGGGTATTAAAGGTCAGGTTGGAGAAGGAATCACTGCAAAGACTGCAAGGGCGCTACTTCAATGGCTGAATCATCTCCTTCTTAGGGACTGCCAGAATTCACAGCTAAAAATCCCTACACGCAGCCTGGAAAGCATGCTCTTGTGAGACCTCACCCAGAGTACTGTGTGCAGTTCTGGTGTCCTCAACATAAAAAGGACATGGAACTGCTGGAACAAATCCAAAGGAGGGCCATGAGGATGATCAGGGGACTGGAGCACCTCCTGTATGAAGAGAGGCTGAGAAAGTTTGGGCTGTTCAGCCTGGAGAAGAGAAGGCTGTGTGGAGACCTCATAGCAGCCTTCCAGTAGCTGAAGGGGGGCTTTAGGGATGCTGGGGAGGGACTCTTCATTAGGGACTGTAGTGACAGGACAAGGGGTAACTGGTTAAAACTTAAAACAGGGAAAGTTTAGATTGGATATAAGGAGGAAATTCTTTCCTGTTAGGGTGGTGAGGCACTGGAATGGGTTGCCCAGGGAGGCTGTGAATGCTCCATCCCTGGCAGTGTTCAAGGCCAGGTTGGACGAAGCCTTGGGTGAGATGGTTTAGTGTGAGTTGTCCCTGCCCATGGCAGGGGGGTGGAACTAGATGATCCTGAGGTCCTTTCCAACCCTAACTATTCTATGATTCTATGATTTATCTATTTTTCATATTTTTCTTGTTGTTTCTGACTTGAAACCAGTAGGTGTTAAAGAGTGCATGAAGTGTTTTCAGCATGGAGGGTTATCACTCTGTTCTGGACTTCATGTGCCACATAGCCTGCTGTTCTGTTTTTTTCTATCCCCTTTATTTCTTCCTCCCTAAATTGACAGCCAATTCAACAACAAAAAAAATCTATTCTTCTTCACAGCCTAGTACTGCTTGTTCACCCCCCTCAGCCACCTTTCACACAAATTTAGACTTAAACAGCATGACAAAACAGTGGAAATCAAAAGAAAATAATTAAGAAAGAATTAAAAGAACACAATACATGTTCTCTTGGTAACGCGGCACTCTGGCAATGCTGCAACCCATTGGGTTGCCAAAACATGTCCCAAGAATTCCCAAATCCGCTTTGCAGCTGGAACAAAACCCAGAGCTCTTGAAGAAGGACCTTCCAGAGCAGACCTGTAACAATGGCTTTGGTAACATGCAAGTGGTGCCACACAACTTGATCTGAGAAAAGGGACACTTGAGGATGTGAAGTGGTGGCTGACCTCTAAGGCAGACTAAGGCCCTCTTCAGTAAAGCCCTGAAATTCTTTGTGCAAGTTTCCCTTTTCTATTTTCTGTATTCTTCCACTATTAAGGCTAGCTGAGTTCTCTTCAGATTCTCCATTAACTCTTTGAGTGCCTTGGTAATGTGTGACCGTACATAAAGACCTACCACCACGTATATTTATTTCATATTGAGATTATGTCAAACGTTCAGAAACACTAGCATATGTCACACAACAAAAGAAAGGAAGGACATATTCAGCCTGGTGAAAAGAAGGCTCTGGGAAACCTCAGAGCAGCCTTCCCCATGGCAGGGATTGGAACAAGGTGATCTTTAAGATCCCTTCCAGTCCAAACCGTTCTATGATGCTATGATTCCCTTACAAAATTCAGTAACATTGCAAGAAAATAAGTGTGCTCCCTACAGTTTTCTACATCTTTAGCTGGCTGAGATCAGCAGAGCAGTTGTGTAGCAAGTTGTGTGCTTTAGCGCTTTTTAGGCTTATATTGGCCTAGAAATACTGGAATCACCATATCTACTTAAGGATAAATATAAATGTGGAGGGCTTTGCTTCAAACATGGAAAATCCAGCACCTGAAATTAAATGTAGGTATCACAAAGATGCTGGTCTGAACTCTGGTGTTGATTTCCTGCCACCACTCTGGAAATCAATGGGAGGATTATCTCTTTGACCAGATCTCTGCTTCCAGAGATCCTCAGGAGTATCTTTCCTTCTTGAGAAATCAGAGTGGGAATAAAAAAAAATTTGGCATAGAAGATCATGTGATTCTGATATCAATCTCTGGCAAATCTTGATGTCTACCCATCCAGGTTTACAAACCTCTTCCCCTGGAGTGCTGTTGGAATCATATCCACAAGCTATGGCATATGGCGCAGGGTACACATCCGTCCAGCCCTGGCTTGTACAATTCCTGGTCACGTTTCCTGGAAGAAAAGGGAGAAAGATGATTTAAAAAGAAATGTCCAGCTTGCTGTTCAACAAATATCTGCCTTTTGTTGATTCAAATGCCCGAGGACATTTCTTGTAACACTTAGAACAAAATTCTCATACTTTGTTACGAAGTGTTTACGTTACACAGAACACATAAATGGGAGGGACTCATTGGGTTGTAAAGTGCAAACCTCAAAAACAAGTACATTTTAATACTGAGGTGCCAAAAAAAAAAAAAATATCTCTTCTAATGGTACTACAATGCCAGTTTTACTTAGACCTTTGGTTGCTGGCATTCCACCTGGATTGTTTGAGAATGTTACTGTCATACTGCCTTTGTTCCTGGAAAAGTTTTCTCTAAACAGAGCAGTGAATTATTTATGTATTTCACTTCACATGAGAGAAGCCAAGACAGGGATAGATAAATTGCTCATTTTATAAAAAAGATCAGAGGTCTGAGAACTGACCATGAATGCAGTCCTCAAAACCCAGACCTTGTCTACAAGATGAGCCCTGACTGAATGTGATTCCTGGGAAATCTACTGCACCGAACCAAACACTTCAAAATTTGGCTATGAGGGGAGAAAACCCAGATACCTACAACCTGTATTACCTGTTTTAACATGTATAGTCAAAGGCAGGAAGATTTCCTTGACTCTTAAGCAAGTTGAGTGCCTAGGGCTTCCAACTGGCTAAAAAGCACCTTAATTAACATAAGGATGTCCCTCTCCTTCAGGCAGAACTGTCAAAACTGTGAAGTTCACATTCCTCTCTGGTACTCTGCACATCCTGGTCCATCTGGGATTATAAGACTGCTCAGTTCAAAGCATCTCTTACTCCTTAAGACATCTCTGCTTCCCGTATCAGCTAGACCTCAAAACCACATTGGCTATGGGCGGTACAGACCTTAAGCAAAAGAAGGAGAAATTAACAATCTGATCAGGACAGGTCTTACCCTAAAAGGTCTGTAGTCTAAAAGGCCAAGATTGATATTTGTCAGACAGAAATAACAAAGAAGCAACACATTGCACACTGCAAATTCCCCCAGCATCCACTCTGACCACTGGTCTGTATCCTGTCTATCTCATGCATCTCACTTGACTGTGGCATTCCTTCGGTGTCATTATCGAACAAAACTGCCTGCCATTCCCCACTGGAAAGCTGGTACAATAAGCCAGAATGAACAAGCAGTAGTCAAAACTTGGTTCTGAGATGAAGAATTACATCAGTGAAACTCAAGAGCTTGTAAACATTTCTAACAATCAGATTCTTTGCACAAGAGCAATAAAACTTCTGCAAACAGGAGCAAATCAATTATGCAGCTATGAGTCATGAAAATGTTCAAGCATCACCTCCAGGAATTTCTGACAATTGAGTCATCTGAACATCTTCCTAAGCATAGACCTGTTTCACACTGAAATCAGCAGCAGCCTATCCCCTGGCTTAATTCGCTTCTTCAGTACCTGTGACAAGTAAAACTTTGACACTACACTTGCCCCTGTAATTTGTCTTTACAACAGACCGAAACTCCACAAATGCTCTGATGCCTTTGTTCATTTTAACAGCTGCTCCAAGAGAACTTAACTTTAGCACAGTTTGGTGAGTTGTTGTTCCCCACCCTTTCTCTGCATGGTCATTGTTAGCATTTCTTTTTACCAGGGCTCCTATCAGGATCATAAGAGATCTTGTGCAAACAAAAGAGATCTTGTGCAAACAAAACAAGGATGTGACTGTTTAATACGTTTTCTTTTATTTTTTTTTTTTTCTTGTTTGGTGTTTTTTTTTTTTTTTTTTTTTTTTTGTTGAGTTGTTATGCAATTTCTGTTCTTTTTCATTACAATGGATTCCATTATCTGAACTTTTCTGCTTCCTATTTCCTGCTCAAAACTCCTCCTCTCTGTTTGACGATGCTTTTAGCTTTCACGGTGGTTTTGATTCTTTGCTGCTTATTCTCAGTTTACTAAGAGGTGCTTATTTCAGCTTAATTTTCTCCTATTTCTTCTTTTTGAGTGCACTTCCTCACAATTGTTTGATTGTTTTGTAATTCTCGCTGCTCTCAATGCTACTTTCAAAAGTTGTTTTAATGCTTTAGCAGATGCGGAAACTAAGGTAGAGGGAATCACAATGATACATCATCACTGGGATGAAAAAATAGTAATAAAATGTCCCAGATTTCAGGGAAAATCACTTCCCAGAGACTTTTTTCTACCGCCCTTTGATGCTCATGTCACTTTTTGATGAGCAAATTCACAAACATGGTGTGATACAACAAACCTTTCTAATAACTCTCATATTCGGCACTAGATGTCTGGGAGGTGCAAAAAGTACAAGGTTAGAAGACACAGATTTTACCACACCATAATTATGGCTCAAGTGATAGATAATGTCTCCCGTCAGAGCAAACAACTACTACCTACCAGCTTACTTTCTATACTGAAAATTAACATAAAATTTGGAAAAGAGCCTCACAAGCTTAATTCTTACTCCGAGGTTTACAGGCAGCAAACTTTGGACTGAAGTATTACACTGAGATTTTTATGTGACAAGGTCAAATCCCAGCTCTGCCACAGACCTCCAGTGAACATGCAGCCAGTTCTTATGATCTCCCTGGTGGGGATATCTGATTATTGGTGGGGCCTCAGATTCCCCACGAGTAAATAGGTCTTCCTGGGACAAGTAGTAAAATCCGATCTTCTGTCAATGGGAAGGCAAAGTGTTAAAAGCACCAAAAGTTTTATATACTCTTTTCCTGAATCATCTCCCATTAACCTGTGTTTGTTTCTCAATGCACTAATGCACTAATGAAATACACTGAACCTGCAAAATTTAAGTGGTAGTATCAGAACAGACAGGGCTCCTGGACTTGGAAATGGTATCTCCAGCCTTTGACAGTTCATAACAGTTCCAATACTTTCTCATTTCCAATCAGACTGAAGCTAAATCTTACTAAACTGTATCCCTGGAGAATAAATGAGAAAGGAGACCAGGGTTTATAACTCTGTAACACATAATTAGCAAGGCACAGTGGAGGAGATGATGCACTAAGAACTGAAAAGCAGTACTGCCAGTACGTTTGTGCTCCAGGCTCTTCTCTACTTTGTAGATAAAGGAGGTTCAAGTCCCAGTGTTAACAGAATCCCTTTAATGGGGTTGGTATTAGTTAACAGCCATGAAATAATCTGTCTTTTGTCGGGTTTGTATTTAATTTTGATCAGAAAAGTTACAACTTCTCTGATCACTTAAGCTGGTGGATCTACTCCTAAAAGCCAAATCCATTCAGGTGAGATGAAGCCTCCCATTTAGAAAAAAAACAAACCTACAGAAAGTTTCAACTGAAAAAGCCACAACTCTTATTTACGATAACAATAATCTCATAACATGTCTTATTAGAACCCACCTTACAGCTTTCATAGAATCACAGGATGTTTGAGGTTGGAAGAGACCTTTGAAGGTCATCTGGTCAACCCCCCCTGCTAAAGCAACCGACTTGGTCTGGCTGCTCAGAAGCATGTCCAGTTGCCTTTCGGATATCCTTGGAAATCTCCAAGGATGGAGACTGTACAGCCTGCTCCAGTGCTTGGTCACGCTCACAATAGAAAAGCGTTTCCTTATGTTCAAATGGATCTCCCCATGTTTCAGTTTGGTCATGGTTAGAAAATGCAAAGCAGTTAGAAAGTGCAAGGGGGTTTCATTCCTTCAGGCATGCATTTGTGAATGGGAGCCTTGTGTGTAACACAAGTCCTCTTCTGGGTGCTGTCAGGAGCACAGAGAAAATCCCTGGTTCCCATTTCAGGCATGCACAATCTCTGCAGAAGCAAGAGGCGTTTGGTCCCATGAGGATGGGATATTGTCTGTGAGATGCTGCTACTGATGCTGCAAAGAGGAGGTAAGGCAACTAGGCTAAACTGTTTTCACTGTAATGTAAATTAAGTGAAATCTCGCCACATCTGCCAAAGGTGTAAATCATGCATGCTGGGAGATATCCTGGCTTGCAGATGCACAATAATTGCTAAGGTGCAATAACTCGATTGTTTATCTGAATCTTGAGCAAAGTATTGCAGGGAGACAATTAGAAGGCTCTCAGCATCCCACAGCTCTTTCACTGCTGTCTTGTCTCTTTGCAGATATCAGGACAAAGGAGTTTAAAAAAGAAGTTTTGAAGGGAAAGAGGTGTTGACCTTTTCATATGACTCCCTGCTAGGTAGGAGGGGATGGATGTGTAAAGGGAGCAAAATAACAGCGCAGAAATGAGAAAGAGAGGAAACAAACAAACAAACAAACAAGCTAGTTCTTTAGAAGCAGCAAATATAATCTGCAGAGGTAATTCTTATATAAGCTAAAGCCTTACATAGCTACTGCCAGAGAACCAGGAAGGGAAACTAAAGCAGTCAGCTTTCCAAAAGAATGCTGTGGTATAAAAGACACTGCTTACAGAAGGGAATTACAAGTGTAAATATAAGGCTAGACCTTTTGCTCATTTATATCAGTGTTTATGACAGTCAATACATAAAGCACTATTGAAAGGCAAGGGGCGAAGCCACAGGCCTGAATAACCAGTTCTGGTGAAGTTTTACTGCAACAGTGCCTTAAAGGCAAATGTGTAATGTGATGGGCCACAACTATTCAATCAAATCACGGCATTTCTTGGTACTGCCTGAGACATGAGCTCTGCCTCTTTGCAGATGTACTGACCACAGAAGTGCAAATGGGTCAAGCCCCAGTGAAATCAGCAGGGTCTCTCCTAAGCTCAACACTCTCTGGTCTGCAGCTCACTAAACACTACCCAACTGCAAAGTTAAGCAGACAAGATGGGCCATCCAAGCCAATGTAAACTGCTGTAGATATAATATATGCATATATTTATAAGAAAACACATCTCTTCCTCATGCTCTACCTCTGCCTGTTTTCCTTGACAATCTGCTTGCAATGTGTGGTGGTGATTAATGATAATGTACATGAAGCACGAGGAGAGATTGCACTTCTTCCATACACT